TCATGCTCACACCAAATTGAATGCACTCTGAAACCACTGACCAGGTTATGTGTGTTTATAGTTGTCACTGTGTAGTCCTGTCATTTAATATGTAATTCACCCTGATCACTGTAGAAATACACCTCCCTAAAGAGGTGGTTTGTGGTCAGTTCATTGCAAACGGGCTTTATGCATACAGAGCTCAAAGGTCTCTCTAGCAGAAAAGGCCCAGTTTCACATGAGCACTCACTCTTTATAACCTTGTTATCATCGTATGTAGACATATCATATCATGTAGTCATAACATCCTTATAGACAGATCACTGTTCTTTGCATCCCCTCTGTCACACTCTGATTGCAAGGCACAGACGGTCTCCAGCATCTTGCACATGGAAGGTCAACAAAAACTCACCTCTCTACACACTACTCTCATGTAGGAGGTTTAACAATAGCTTAACCATTATAAAACAAAAGAAAAGCATTTTTCAAGTAACATTACACTTGATTCATAATTGATTTCACATCATTACCACCATACCCTTCTCCTAACAAGTCACATTTTTCACGGCACTAGGGTCTTGCAAACACTGTAACCGCTATCAGCAGGCTTTAAATAACAACAGGTTGTTGCCGTTTAATGTTTTCAGTCGGCATTGTGTTCCGAGGCAGTTTGACAAGCCAGCCTCAGCCTGGATTTTGTATGCGGCCCGTGATGGGCGGCTTTCGTCCACACCAGCTGTTACTTCTGAACAAAGACAGCATGAGGAGTGGAGACAGAGACGACAGTCCAGGGTGTTCCCTGGCCTTGAAGCTCAGAATGATGGGGTGCTTCTTAAATTCCCACAGGTACCAGAGTAAAAAAAAACATGCCCTGCCTTCACAAACTGTGTTGAATAATTTGAGTGTTTCTGAACTTGACCGTGCTGCTGGGAGCTTGGAGACATTTAATAAGCAACCTCTGCACTGACACTAATTTCCACTTTCATTCTGTCTGTTTGACATTTAAGTTTCAACGCTGTTTTGTTCCAGACGGAGATCATTTTCACTCCCAGGGTGCCCCTGCCTGGCAGGTATGTGGTTGTGGTCCATTATCACCAGCCTGA